AACAACAACAACAACAACAACAACAACAACAACAACAACAACAACAACAACAATAACAACAACATCAACAACAACAACAACAATGATAATACCAATGAAACTCTTAGTACTTGAATATTAAAATTTGTCCCTCTAAAAGTGAGTAAGACAAACAATAATTGCCTTTGATCTCTTCAATTTGATAAATGACAATAACAATAGGGTGAAACTGATCAGGGTAGTTAGTAAGCTTGTTCTTGAACTGTTCTGTCCGATATGTTAAGTGTACAGTGATCGTAGAATCTTAAGTTTTGCTTCATTGTATGTACCAACCCGACTAATCAACAATGTGGTTACGCCATTTTAAAGAGCATGGTGGACACATAATCATGCCTGATCAGCAACAGACCAATGGCGATATTGTGGCACATTCCGAACCACCATAGACAGATCGCTACCCCAGAATTACAAAGTTCTTTCTGCTCAGTACATAATTTTGAGAAATTTGACGATTACAAATTTGAGTTTCACGACATGTTAAGCTTTTTCGACTGTAATTCTTTGAATATCTTGATTACGACTATGAATAATCTTATGCTTTTGATAGAGCAGATAGAAAATCTGGTTTCTGACCTCATGCCTTATGACTTGAAATGGCCAAAAATGTCAGATAGAACTTTGTACTTCCAATAGGAGAGGCACATAATCTCATACTGCACCATAAACAAATATGCATGTTGGTCCCTGTCTTTCTAAAATTTTAGATAAAGAAAAAGGAGAAAAAAAAGAACTAAAAATATGTTAGAATGATAAAGATAATTATTGTTACGCTGTTTCTAAATACCCCAATACAGCGCTTCCTGAAGCTTTATCGAATGACCAGAACCCGCATCCTCAATGGATTAAACTGAGCATGGTGGAACCTCCTGATTGATTATTTCCATTGAAGTAGACCACTTAGACATGTCGAGCCTGTAAGTGGTTCAGAATCGAGTTGCCTGGTTATGTAAACTTTTTTTTGGTTTTAAAGCTTTATGGTGCTTGCAACTACATAAAGTCATTTATGAACCCGCGGACAGATTAAGCATTAATTTTAGTTGGGTAGGGATTAATTTTTTAATCTTGCCCTGGTAGTGTCCGACGCCTACTCTTATTATTTTAGTTCAACCAAGGAATCTTTAACTTGCACAATTTATCCAAGCAGGCTGGGTGTTGGATCATACCAACCTTGATTAAGATCAAGGGTGTGGCTGACAGACAGCGATAAAAAGGAGCCAAGGAGTAGCAGCAAAAAGGCTGCAGAACTGATCAGGAACCCAGACGAGGAGGCTGTGGTGGCTGAGGGGGGGGAGCAGAAAGTGCAGACGAAAGCAGACCATAGAATATGGTTAGAGAGCAGGAAAGGAAGTGAAAAGAGAACATTTCAGAGAAGAAAAATTTCCGCCGCGGTCAAGTTTCGAACCCGGGACCTATTGAATGAGAGGCGAACACAGTGACCTATCTAGACTAGGAGAATGACCAGACTCCGCGTCTCAATAAGTTAACCTGAACACGGAGAAACCTCTTGCTTGATTATTCCCAGCTCGTTTATTGAGGTAGACCACTTAGACACACGTCGAGCCTGTGAGTATTTCAGAGTCTAGCTGCCGAGTTAACGTAATTCATAGTTGCGTTTATGTGAAAGGGGTCGGTTGTTAGATCTATTCTTGGGGGAATGCTTGATGTCAGAACTTGAGAAATTGACAGGCATATTTCAAAGACTTGCTTCCGGAAGTTAATTACCTTTTTGGATTGTTGTTGTTAATTCTGGAGGACTAAGGGTAAAAAATAAACAAAGGAGAAGAAAAAATTGAAGCAATATCCCCCCCCCCCTTTCTCTCTCTCTCTCTCTCTCTCTCTCTCTCTCTCTCTCTCTCTCTCTCTCTCTCTCTCTCTCTCTCTCTCTCTCTCTCTCTCTCTCTCTCTCGCTCGCTCGCTCTCGCTCTATCTCCCTCCATCCCTCTGCCCCACTATCCCGCCCTGTACTTTTCCTCTAAGCAAATATTCAAGAAAACAGTGCAAACTACCAGCTTCTCCACCTTACCTAAAAAAAAAGAACTTTCCAAAACTAGCAATTATTCCATCTGCACAGTAGCAGCAACAGCAACGTTCTCAACGATATAACAACAAATGAACAGAGAAAGATTGTTAAGGCAGAAGAATCCAATTTGAACAATAAATACATTTTTCGAAATGACCTTTAAGCTCATTAAAATGTTTGACGTGTAGAAAACGTTTCAGTACTTTCTTTTAATAATAATAAATAGCATTTGTATAGCGCATATCCCCGCTCAACAGCAGGCTCTATGCGCTTTACCCAGCAGACCATGGGACACTCCAAAACATTCTCAGCTTCCGGGAAGCATACTGTGCCAGCAGCTGATTAAGCGCTCAAACACTAACAAACTGACAAGAGCTTTCTCTGTCTATAGCCGGGTACTCATTCCCACCTGGGTGAAGTGAGGAAAATTCGTGTAGTAAAGTGCCTTTCCCAAGGACACAACGTCGGGTCCCTAACGGGATTCGAACCCTCGACCTTACGGTTGCGAGTCCGAGAGCCTAACCACTAGGCCACCGACGCCCCCTACTTGTTACGTACCTTTCCAGTCTCATGATTTTAGGCAAAGATCAAACATACGACCATGGTACAGTTTCTTAGATAATCAGTTTTTGTTGAGGGGCATAACCGAAGCCAGAATATCATAATGCTTAAGGGAAAGGGAACAGAATAACAGAACGTAAACCTCCCCCCTCTCCCTTTTCTAAAAATTTAAGAAAAACAACAAAACAAAACAATGCACCCAAACTTCCAAACAAACATCAAAACACAACAGTACCCTAACCAATAACCTAAACAAACAAAAACAAAAAGCTAACAACAAGCAAACATTTTTTAAAAACAGCCAAAGGGCAAAAACACGTCCAAACTACCCTTCAAACCTAGACTCACCACTTTTGCCTACTCCAGACATTCCCAGGACGGCAATCTTGGTTTCCCCTAAAGAAGACTTCTTCCGGCGTAGGTAAGGCTTGAGCGTGGAGCCACTTCCTGTGCTCTGGCCGTCAGAGGGCGAGCCGGGGTTACTCATGGCGAGAAGAATCCTCCGACTCTGTGAGCTTCCAGGGCACGCCTCCCACCGCGTTAATCCAACACAGACTGAGTTTCCGGACTTCTTTTCATCACACACTCATACACAGTTGGAAACACAAGTCCAAAGCACATTTATCTCCAGAACTGGTTTGGAACACGTCATTGGTGTTCAGAAACGAAATCAGCCAGCCCTTTACAACACACATAGGTATTCCATGGGGAGAAATCATAGATAAAAAATTATTTTTCCTGGCTTCTTCGTGTTAACAGACATTTGCTGACTCCGATAGATTTAATCGCCTACAAAAATGTTTATTTATTTATTTATTTATTTATTTATTTATTTATTTATTTATTTATTTATTTATTTATTTATTTATTTATCTATTTATTTATTTATTCCTATTTATTTATCTATTTTCTATATATTTATTTATTTATTTATTCTATAACATCGTCCCGCACAAGATTTGTTTAACATCTACAACTACATATAAAACCCATTGCTGTGATGAATATATCATTCTCAAAAGTTCCCTACCTTAACAACCTGTGTAGGCCTAGATCAAAATAGCTTTGGCAGCAATTATTTTCTCATTTACCAAATATTAGATTATTTCCAATTAAATATGAGGGAGAAATATAGCTCTAACATCCTCTCGCCGAGTTCTGGTTGATATAATAAAATTTACGGTTTAAGTTTGGGTTTTCAAAAAATGAAAAACAGTCAAAAGAAAATCACATTCCTCTCACCAAATTGCGCTTTAAGGTAATCCAACTTGGCGCCGGAAAATAATTATGTAAAGAGTCGATCTCATTACTCTGGAGACTTTTCAAGCTCTACAAGATTCCTTTCAGTACGAATACCACTCTGTTGCACATAATGGTTCCTCCTGGGTGCTCACATCTGTTAATGAGAGAAAAGAGAAAATATTAATTTAATTTTTCAAAAATTCTGGGAATTTCCAATAAGTTTATAAAGACCTCTGTATATTTTTGTAAGTGCATGCTTGCCAGCGTGCGTGTGTGCGTGTGTGCGTGCGTGCGCGCGTTGGAGTGAGCGTGCGTATATATATATA